TTGAATAATGGGAATGCATTCCCATGGGCCTTTGCTTCGTATTGTTCCAACTCGCAAGCGCCTGACTGTGGCAGAGCCATAGATATCTTATATACACTAGATAAGGCATCTCTTTTAGTAAAATTGGAGCCAAGAATATTCCAGCGGTTACCCCCATTTGAATAGATGGCGGCCATGTTGGTAGTTCCCACTCGCTAATACACGATTAAAAAACAACAATAACTTTCATCATTTGAATAGTTTAAAAATGTATTTGGAATAGGTTTAACTTAATGTTTAATTTCCCTGTTTAAGAAATAGAAAACATACGAATCTTTTCATTTCATGGGAATATCCTGAGTCTGCAATCACGGCTTCAATTTTTGAATTGCAGAATAATTAGATGCACTATCTAGTGTATATAAGATGGGAAGAGCCTGCAGATTCACGTGCCACGCAGACTGGAGTAGGCGAGGGGTAGATGAACTAAGCATTTTCATCAATTGATTTGCTTAATTTAGGTGTGCTCAATTTTCCAATATTTTTTTGAAATTTTTCCAACTTTTTAAAATTATACTATTTGTACCATAGATATCTTATATACACTAGATAGCGCATCTCATTTAGTAAAATTGAAGCCAAGAATATACCAGCGGTTACCCCCATTTGAATAGATGGCGGCCATGTTGGTCGTTCCCACTTGCTAATAAACGCTTAAAAACAACAACAACTTTAATTATTTGAATAGTTTAAAAACGCATTTGGAATAGGGTTAACTTAATGTTTAAGTTCCCTGTTTAAGAAATAGAAAACATACGAATCTTCTCATTTCATGGGAACGACCTGAGACTGCAATCACGGCTTCAATTTTTGAATTCCAGAATAATTAGATGCACTATCTAGTGTATATAAGATATCTATGATTTGTACAGACCGACTGACTTTTAATGGATAAATAGAATTTCATCGATATATTCTACTGTACTCACTAAAACATTTTTGCAGATGGTAGCAAGCCTGAAAACTTGTGCGGATTGCCACTGACCATTGCTATAACACGACTGGCGTCTCTTGAAGCCGGGATTGAGCGAAGATACCTAAAGTCACCTTTACGAAATGAGTAAGTTGGTGTACAATTTTCATTAAGATGATATACAGTAGTTGTTGTATTGTTTGCAGCTTGCCATTGAAGCAACAAAAAACTAACAACTTGTCTGACAAAGTAACATATCATCAGCCCTGACATGCAGATAGACAAGCTGACAACAGAAATAAATTATACAACAGAAACAGCCTGAACAGAAACAATGATTATAGCGCTCATCTTCTGTTGTAGTAAACTACAAATTCCTGCCAATCTGACAAATGGTTCAAGCAGTAAGAATGAAGAACAGAATGCTGAAACATCTGCACAAGCTCAGAGCAGTTCGAGGTAATTATTAATATTTACCCTAGACATTGTTAGTTTTCTAGTGATTACATGGAAAGTAGAACAAATATAAGAAACTTTAGTAAGATGCAGAAAATGTGGTCATGCGCACGTCTGTTTATTTCTAACTGCGTTTTACATCGTTGCCAAAAAAAACTTTTCCTATGAGCTAAACCGCAATGGCAAATTGACTAACGTCAGGCAAAGCTTGCAAACAGCAAGACACTGAAAAGTAACAACGCTGTTTGTATATAGCAAGTGTCAAAGTTCAATTTTCCTGTTTGCCGATTGGTCAAAACCGTATCACGTGCCGATCCACAAAACGTCATGTTCACTGCATGCTTTGGCTGGTCAACAATGAAACAATTATTGATCGGTCAATAATAAAACCTGAAGTGAAGCGCGAGTTGTTCGCGTCAACCAGCAAGTTTAAAGCGAAGTTTTTCAACGGTTTTATTACAGTTTCGGAGTACCAGGTTGAAATTTTCTATATAATAAAACACTTATTTACTACTGAGACCTCGGGAAAACAGCGTCTTTTGTGGCCTCTCTGCCGGTCTCGGGGCCACAAAACACGCTGACAAAGAGACACTAAGTAGTAACTATATCCTAAAGCACCAACATGCGGGAAAAGGGAGAAGTGATAAAGACTTAGCTAGCAATGCGAAGCGCAATGTATTTCTGATAATACGTGACGTTGGAGATCGTAGACATGATACATTTGCTGTTAACTTCGCTTAAATCTACGTTTTATCACATTAAATGTTTCGTCTTTGTAGTGAAAAGGAAGAAGTGGTAACGCCAGCGTTAAAGTTATGGCGAGAAACTGTGTCAGCATGCCGTACACCTGCTCAATTATACATGTGTTTGACATTGTTAACTGATTGTATTGCCTGGGAGAAATCAATTATGAAAGTTGTAAGTTTAATTTTTTTAATATTTGCATGTTCCACTTCCACTAGAATGAGTGCCCGGATAGTATGGTCTGCACAGAGCACATGACTCCTATAGGTCCATAACTATGCATGGAAGTCCTTAAATTTTCATCGTACCAAATGAAGTTACAGTATAAAATGAAGTCCTGGAACGTCTTCTCCGCTCTCTTTGGTTGTGAAGAATTGTGGAAATACAACGTTTATTTATTTTGTATAGCTTTTGATCCCGTAAGGTACCCCGGATAGTCATCAGTGAAAATAATATATTATCTCTGTAGTTCTGCCAGATGTGCCGTAAAGGAGACAATGAAGAACTTCTATTACTTTGTGATGGATGTGATCGTGGTTACCACACGTATTGCTGTCAGGTAGAGAAATATTACTGTGCATGAACAACAGGGACGTTGGGGGAGGGCAGGAGGGGCAGTTCTGTTACGTGATCTTATTGTAATGATAATCAATGCATTATTGAAAGGTCTATTAATATAATAAACTTCGTGTAGAAATAAGCATTAGAATTCCAATTCAGGTACCTTGACAGCCCACAACTCCAGATGCTTCGCAACGTTCCTTAGTATATTGTATATTGCGCCCCTTTGCGCCCCTGATGAAAAAGACCATATAAGGACTTGTCGTTGAGTTTGAGGTGTTCAGTTCATACTGTACGCTTCAAGAAATTGAATCTTTGTTTTTATCACTTTCAGCCAAAGCTCGATACTATTCCTCAAGGTGACTGGTACTGTACAGATTGTATTATTATGGTGAGTTGAGCAAACGTCATATTTTTTCAGATATGGTTGAGTCCTTTTAATGTCATTTTATACATGCCTCGATCGATCCGGCATGATCTCTCTCTTTCCCCCAGTAAACCCACCTCTGGGTTAATTTCTGTTAACTTTTTTTACCATGACTGTATAATGTTTCAGGCGACAGGTAAAAGCTGTTGTTTCATGTGTCGTGGAACACAAGAACGACTTCTACGTTGCACACAATGTCCAAGGAACTATCATCCACAGTGTGTGGATCCACCACTTGCCAAGTAAGCTTTTTGATAAGAATATTTTATGCAACGTGTTTTTGCTCGTTGGCATTGTGAACATTTTCATTTTAATCAATGCTGAAACTCTAATAAAACCTCTAGTAGATTTATCCTGAATAGCTCTATCAGTTCAGAACTATTTTCGCTAGAGGTCCATTAAGTGTCATTCTTCTCTTGTTGATCCAGTGTTACTACGCTTCGAAACTGGAGTACCTGGTGTACTGAGTTAGATCACGCAGAAATTTATACCTCTGGGGCCGGTTTTTCAAAGCTGGGGTTAGCACTAACCCTGGGTTAAAATTTAACCTGTTTTAGTTTATGTATTTCTGCACGTCTGTTTATTTCAAAATTTCAGAGAAGTAAACTCCTATCGATCCAGACAAGGTCTCTGAAGAAACATTTGCAAATTTTTAGACAAGCTGTCATGAAGTTTGCTTTGAATTTTAGGTTAACCAAGGGTTAAGTTAATCCAGCTTTGAACAACCGGCGCCTGGTCAACGGAATAGCAGAATTTATGAGCTAACAACCATGCCAGCTATACACCCTTTTAGAAGCAGTCCTCTGGGGGATACTTTTGTGATAATGTTCTCTTTCCCGTCCAAAAACACCCACTCAGTCCCCTTGGTAGTACCAATACTACAAGTCTACAACCCACAGACCTTTGCTGGTTTCGTATAGGTTAATGGAGTAAGCGCGTCACTTCATATCTCACTTTATACCCTGTAATTTTCTTTAGAATTCCTCGTTGCTGGTCCTGTCCCAACTGTAAAAAGGTCAAGGTAAGTTTCTTTGTACCGTGATCTGGATAGGCTTATCCATAAATCAGATAGATTCGAAATGTACAAATTATCATTATTGGGTCGTGTTATACTAGAGACAGATGATCCGTCTGGATGAACTTAGCCTGGACAAACTTAGGCAAAGAAAAGATAATTCGTCTGAATTCGTCCTTGTATGAAGCAAACAGACAGATCATCTGTCAAGTCAAATTATCTGCGTACTTGGACTTGACTTGTTTGGACGGATCATCCGTCGTGTCGTGTTTAACTTTATACTAAAATGATCTAGCCTGCGCGCAGTCCCAGACTCCCTACTTCCTTTGGGAGTCTGGGACTGCGCGCAGGCTAAAGATGATCTGTCTCTAGCATAAATCAGGCCATTCTGTATAAATGTATAATGTCGGGATGACGTTTATTTTATATTTGCTGAAACTATCAATTGGTAAAGGGTTCTTACTAACTGTCTACTGTATTGGATGAATATTTCAGTCGAAATCCCGCAGTCGTGCGTCTACAACCAGCCGTAAAAGAAAGAAACAGATGCAAGCAGAGAGCGAAGGTATTGACGAGAAATCCCTCTCTGCCCTGACAGATGAGTCCAGACAACATCTGAGCAGAAAACAATGTTCAAAAGATATGGCGCCATGTCGAAGTTTGCTTGCTGAAATGGAGAAACGTGAAGATGCCTGGCCATTCTTAGTTCCTGTTAACCCAAAACAGGTACGCAAAGTTCTTTTAAAATTTTTTTTCGTAGTTACAGATTTCGGCTCGGAACTTAATCGAGATGAGACCGCGCAAGACCAATATAAAGCGTTTTAAGCGTTGATAAAAGTTCCTCGTTAGTACCAATAGTTCTGCGAATAAATCCCAGCATCTTGTTGGCTTTAGTGACTTGGGAAAAAATGTGCTCATTAAAGCGAACCTCATCAGTTGTAAGTAGTCCAAGGTCATTCTGAGCTTCAACTGTTGCTACCAATATGTAAAAATATTAAATGTATCATGCGCGATGCACATTAAAAACGATGTGCTAGCCGAGCTTTTATCTTTTCGAGGTGTATTAAAATTATTAGGGTAGTAATATTATTAGGTGGTAATATTATTCCATGATATAGGGTTTATTACTTTACTTCATTACCACAGTATCAGAACAGCGATACGGTGCTGATTTCATTTATGTTTTACTCTTATCATTGGTAGTTTCCTGAGTACTATACCATAATCCTATCTCCAATGGATTTCCACACGATGAAGGTCAAGTTACGAGATTTTCAGTAAGTTGCCGTTACTCATTCTGATTCAATTCACTTTAGCTTGTGAACGTCTGCGAAAATTCGTAATTGATCCCAATCATTTTTAGGTATATATCCCGAGAAGACTTTGCAGGAGATTGTCGTCTCGTGTTTGATAACTGTAATCACTATAACGAAGATGACTCCGAAGTAAGTATGATTTTGTTGCCGTTTGTAGATTGATGTTAAACAAGAACAGAGCTGATAAGCATGGATTAGAGCTGTATATATGGGTAGTTTAATCATTTTTGTTGCGTCCTGATATTTCTAGGTTGGTCAAGCAGGCAAACGATTGAGGAAGTTCTTTGAGAAACGTTGGCAAGAAATAATTCGAGATTGCGAATAGGCAGAAGGTATTGTTTTCAAATCAATAAATTGATTTACTGTCGTTCCAATTGAAGTGTTGCTGAAATATTGATTCAATACATTACCTCGGGCTGACCAATTCATTTGATCAAGTTCCTCGAAATATTCATACACTTCCTGTGAAAGAGCCAATTCCAAGTATTTGATCATTTCTGGTCACTTCCTTTCTATTTATGATTGGTTAGTTGCACAAACAACAAAGGTGATTGGTGCATTCAAACTATTCAACAGGAAGTTTACAATTATACTAGGAAGTGTATGAATATCTCGAGGAACTTGATCAAATGAATTGGTCAGCCCGAGGTAATGTATTGAATCAATATTTCAGCAACACTTCAATTGGAACGACAGTAAGTTCATTTACATGATACCGTGTATACCTCTTTGATTTGTTCATCCATGTCAACTGACCAGAACTCGCAGCATTGACTCACTTTCTCATAAACTTTCTTTTGAAGTTTGTCCAAATCCTGTAGTAAATTATTATGGTGGTTTAAATCTTTTCGTTATCAGACCATTTGATCTAGAAAAATAATGCGTTTTTCCTGAATTAAATCGTGACTAATTTCCATACGTGAAAAACTTAGAATATCAAACCTCTCCTCCCGGGTCGTATAAACTCTCTTTGTTACAGATTCATTCGTTGCTTTCTAGGTGATGAAAAAACAAGAAGTCGAAGCTTGTGCGTCTAACGTTACATGGAGGTGCTGTCCGCTTTCATCGCACCAAGGGGTTTCGTTCGAAGAATAGACAAAGGCATTTTTAAAATGGACCGTTGTACTATCATGTAAATATGTGTCATTTCTTGATGTTTTCTACTTTCAAAAACTGCTAAAGCAATAGTCTAATAGTCGAAACAGCCTAATTAGTAGTGTTGGGTTTTCAGTAAGTGTTGCGGCCCGCAGGTGATGGTCAACTCATGAAGAGTGGACTCAATGTCCATTTATTTGACTTTATCTCAGTGGACTCCAATTTGGGTACTGTACACGACTACTGCATATGTCGACTACGTCATCGCCGCCATGTTGGATGAATTTGGCAAAGATTTGCAATTCCAATTTCATCCAACATGGCGAAAATCTGTTTGTACTTTGTATCCCCTGAGATTGATTACCAACCACCTATAATGAAAATAATTAAGATTTTCTCACTCTGATATTGCCGGTTGATCTACGCTATTTGCTGCGCGATAGTGCTTGGTGAAACCCACTTATTAAGAACGGAAATTTGTCTAAGATAGTAATCGTTGTGACAAAATTCCATCTTTAGACAAAATATATACCCAAATTAGTCGAGGCAAGATCGGTTGCAAGCATTTGCAGTGAGCTTACTAAACAGTTTAATTTCATCGTTGTATATAAACATGCGAATGAAAAGCCTTTCCCTGTAAATGGCTGGAAATTGAATTCAGAGAAAACAAAGACATACAAGTTGTCTTTTAGCTTTGGAAAAGAAAGACTTTTATGTAAAGTTAAATATTTAATGAAATGGAATATTTGGCATGTATTTTACTTGCAATTGATAATGTACATATAACACTTTGTAGCAACTATGTAAATGAATTTTTAAATGTGTGAATCTTGTAATACTTTAGTGATTAAAATGAATGATTTTGTGATTTTAAACAATTTCTGTACGTCAATTTATAAATTCCTATTGATTTTATTGATTAAAATATTTGTGGTGTAATTATATTATTCTGCTGACCGACCATAATTACTGGAGTAGTCAAAATTACAATCTCGTGTACCCAGAGTCATCAGTTCAACGAGATTGCGAAACATCTTCGTTTCCAGGGCTTCATAACTGCCCGCGTTGCCCAGCTAACCAAAGGGTTTTCAGGGTTTTCACTCGTTTCCAACCATTAAACTGACGTTACGTCATTTGACCAATTTCTAAAGTTGATTCTTTTTGGATTTATTTTATTATTTTGGTTAAGGTTAGGGTTGGGGTTATGGGTTAGAGTACGGTTTGGGTTAGTTTATACATAGCTATTTAACCATCTTCCGAAAATAACGTCACATCAGTTTGGTAGATGGAAACAAGTGCTGACCTAACCTCTGTTCTTAGAGGACAATGAACTTTTTCGAGTGTGAAGTGCCCTTTTGCCCGTGCGAAATATTTGTTCAGATTGAATTTTGGTGATCGCGTTAACTTTTCGTCTCCCTTCCCCTGCTCCGTGGCTGTAATTTCCGGGTGTCTCAGAGGGTTCCTTTCGTTCCAAGGTGTGTCTCGAAACTGGTGCCTCGCCGTTTAGGTGCTTTACTCCTTGGTGTGCTTTTGCTACTTTACTAATGCTCTACCATGGAAGTTTGCAGTTTCTCAGTGGCGTAACGGGAGGGTGTCAGGGTGTCCAGAGACAGGGGGCCCCCGAACTTTAGGGCCCCCCAACAAAAATGACCTTAAAAAATTTGATAGCACATTTCTGGGGAATTGAATTAATTGAATTGAATTGAATAAAAAAAAAACATTCTCTGGAAAAGGCAAAATCCGTCGAGAAATTTCCCGAAGCTGCGACGGATTAAGTACGTCGCGGCTGAGGTAAAGGACGAGATACTAGAATGAATTAATTGCAATTTCATTGGGTATGTCCGGAAAAAATTTTGGATCCCTAAACTGGTACAATGTCCGAAAATTTTTTGGCGACGGGGGGGGGAGGTCGCCAAAAATAAATTGTTCCGAGAAAAATTTTTGGAGCCTATTTTTAGTGTAGCAAAGGGGCCCAAAGTGGCCGATTGACGGAGGGCCCCCAGCGGTTGCGTTACGCCACTGCAGTTTCTTGAGGCCTTTCTCGAGAATTCTTTTGATCAGACAGCCGGTACTTTCAATGAGCGACGAAGAGTGTCAATATTTTAGTTGACTTGAAACTGAGGACATTATGTTTGTCTTTACATGACGTATTAAAAGTGGTGAAATAAATCAAGATGGAGGACGAACGTGCAAAATTTATAAATTCTATTTGTAAGTATATCTGTATATATGGCCTTTAAGCCTCGAAACGATATGACAATAACAAGATATAATGTTTTTAGTTTAAATTGTTTCAAGAATTTGTAGTTTAGGTTAGGAGAATGAAAGTAATTTACTAATTTACCGTCCGCATGATACATGATCCAGAGTCCAGACTGCAGACACCATGAGACTGCAGAGTTGGACAGTTTTCGATGAAACCTCGGGGGCGCAAAGCTAAAAATCTAGGGGCAGGCACAAAACAGTTTCCAAGGGCACATCAAGAGACAATCAGGGGCACAAAAGTGGCCAAATATGTATTAAACACAATGAAAATTTAGGGATCTGGGGCAGATTTGAGTTTGAAACATATCAAGCTGATTCAAGCACGTCCTTCCCAGGGGTGCTAAAACTTTTCCCTAAATAATCTCAGGGTGACTCTGACCAACTCTTCAGTCTGGGATATGATCGTAGTCATCATATGCCAGGGTGCATTCCATGTAAACTCTATGCCGAAGATACGCCAATATTAACTATAGATAGTATTGTAATTTGCGAAACTCACGCCAGATCTTTGGTGTATTGCACTTAGCATGCACCCTGGATCATAAATGATCAATTTGAATTGCTGCACAGATTTCATTTTTAAAATCTCCTTACTTTGCTGAAAGATTCAACTCATTCAAGTATATATAGGGAAGTCAATTCAAAACAAGTGCTAAAAACGTTACAGTGCAGGTTGGTGGTGAAGTTTGGTTAGGACCCTGATGAGTCACCTGACTGGAAAGTTTGGAAATTGCATGGCCGAGACTTTGAAAATTTAAAGCATCAAAATCGTGTACCCGATATCTTGGTTGCGCAATACAAACTTTCACAATGGATGAGTGTACTTTAAAAACAGCACAATATCTTGCAAATTATGCACTATTAATTAAGGCCCGAAATCTTTGGTAGAGAGGGTTTTGTAAAAGATGTCATATTGATGTCTTCTTCGTCAATTTGACCCTCCCCTAATTTCATCACTGAAAGCTCAACATTGTTTCAAGACATTTTTAAAACCAACCAACATATCCAGTCAGAATAAAAATACATGCATGCAGTTAAGTTTTTACATCCAAAGCATTGCTCTTCTTCACATTTACATAGCTGCCAAGGTGGAGTGATCTGCATGCGTGAGACGCCATGTCGCCATCTACTGACGCAATCTAATGCCCCCCCCGGAAAATTTTAAAAATTTGGGTCTCTGATATGGAATTTCCAGCGTTTCATTCCCAAGATACGATTTATTCACCATTGCTGCACCTTGGATACTGTAATCAGATAGCATTTACGCACCGGAAATAGGCTCAATTTATGGCATCAAATGAGGTGTTGACAGCAAATTCACACTGATAATAAACACCTACCCACTCTACTGTATTCACCAGATGAATTTACTGACTAATTTCATAGTGTAAAATAGAAAAACTAAACGCTAAAACATTTCACAGGTTTCCAAAGTTAACATTGCTCTCCAGATTTACGTTTTTTTTTATTAAACTCTTCAATCACAAGCAGCCAAAGCAGCTCATGTGTGAGATAACTAATACTGCGCGTGTGAGCGTGAGAAAATATGCTGAGACGTGTGTCTCACGCATAATGCGTGAGACTTGGCAGGTATGCTTTACATTTCTCACTACTTGTCCAGATGTCTTTGTTCTAATGCCCTCAAAAAGACTCAAATAAATTCTTCCTTCCTGGACAAAAATTACTGGCAATCACTGCTCATGGCTAGCCATTTCAATTGCGTTTCACAAGACAAAAATCTGTCATTTCACAAGAACAAATATTGGCAAGTCATAATTCACAAAAATACCCTTTATCACCAGGGTTGGATTCAGGCTTGGTTCCAAATTTTATTGCCAGTAACACAATGTGAAAATAGCCAACTGCCATCTTCATTATCTCATCAACTTGCATTAAAATGGACCAAGCAGAATCCAATTTAGTTAAGATGCCAATTTACTGTTGTCATATCTGAGCAGCCAGACCCATGACAAAATGAATTTTAAATTGGACAGTTTGTCAACTGCCAACTAAAACTTGCTTTTGGTATGTTTACAGTAAAACGAGGTCCAAACAAGAGACGAATCAAGCCTGCTGAGAATAACGACTTGTTGCAACTTGCTCTTTGTTATGAAGATGGAAGTGAAGATGATGATGAAGATTTTCAAATGGGTAGTGATGATGAGGAAGAAGGTGTGAATTACAGAATCCAATATTTCCTTAGTGCATAGTTGCTCTATAGCGCAGACCTACCTTGAAGTCTCCCACATAATCTCCCTCCCTTATGAAGACAATATGAAGAAATCTCCCACATTCCTTGTGTGCTACCAGAAAAAAACTAACAATTATCTAGACACATGTCAATTGATATGTGTTGCACAGCTGAGCAAGAGTGCTCTGAATGCAGTCTTAGTTTCAAGGTTCTCTTAAACCAGACTGTAAACTGTTTTAAAATTTGTACCAAAATCAGATTGCCCTGTTAACACTGCTCTGGCACTTTCCTGATTATCTTTGTATGGATCCTCCAAAGTGGAATTTTATTAATTACACTTGATGCACCAGATTACTGTAAACAACAACCCAACTCAGTAAAGAAATCACTGTGCTCTCATGCCATTCAGTTTAGTCTGAGTGTAAGTACAGTTTGGTTGGTTGCCTATACACATTTTGTTGAATGTTACCGATAAATATTTTCAGTTGGTGAAGTTTTCAGATGACATGTGCCACATATTTTTCAAAATTAATATATTATCCTGCATCTGAAATTGACCCAAATTGACACAGTGGCATAAGACTTTAGTGTACAGTACCTAGGAAACTACTGCAATACAAAGTTGTAATTTTATGCATACATTGCATTGCAGTGCTTGTTAGATTATGAAAGAAATAGGTTACGTTTATAAAAAATATTCACTCAAGCATTTTCCTGAAAGTATGCAGGGCAAGGATCAACCTTGTATGCAGGCTCTTTCTTCTACTGGAGAACACATTCTGTCATTACAGTCATATATAAAAAAGAAGTACTGTATCAATGAAGCAAACATATACCAATTCAATCTATTTTAATTTAAAAAGTCATGCTAAGTATATATATAAAGATTTTTTGGTATACCAATATTGTTAAAAAATGCGACATTGAATAATGTAAAGCGCCTAGAACAGTAATGTATATGCACTATAGATATTTTATTATTAACCAATGTTTAAAATACATGTATATTTATTGTGTATATAATGATAGTACCAATATACTGCAACAGTTACAGGTAAACTACGTGAAGCGTTCCTCTTTTGACTTCCTGACTCATTTGGAATTCTCCTCATTAGATTTGCAAATTTGAAAAAATCTTTTCAAACCCTTGAGGGAATTTGCAATGTTCCTATTGGCTATTGCAATATTCCAATGTTCATTTGAAATTTTCCTAACTTCCTGTTTTAATTTCCTAACTTCCTGTTCTGTTCTGAGCGTTATCATTGGTGGATTATTTTGTTAGCCAATTACAACGCACAGAACAGAACAGAACAGAACAGAACAGAACAGAACAGAACAGAACAGAACAGGAAGTTAGGAACTTGTAAAAGGAAGTTAAGAACTTCTAACAGGAACTAAAGAAAATTTAATTGGCTTTTAGCAACGTTGAAAATTCCCTCAAGGGATTTGTAAGGGGTTTTTTTAAATTACAAAGGTAA